GTATCAGTGACAGTTACGTTGGCTCAGGATAGAACCGGATTCAGAGCTGCTGTACACAGGGTTGCTATGAGTTATAAGTGACTTGACGGCACATAACAACAACAACAACATGGTAAACCCTGGACAGACTGGACTCATTATCAAACAGATGTTCTTAGATGCCTCTGAATTGAGTTAAATCTAAAGTGATAAATTATTGCAAACATGAAATATAACCTAGAATGTTTTAAAAATAGAAACAAATTTAAATATTAAGATTTTTAGTGCTAAAGTATTTAAATATAATTCCTGTAAGAAGCTGCGCTGCAGTCCTGAAGACATGCGGTTCTATTCCACCAGCTGCTCCACAGAAGGATGGACAATCTCATGAGCAATTAACTGCCTCTAAAAACCTGCATAGGGTCAGCTGTGGGTCAATTCCAACTCGAAAGCACATAACAACCGCAATTATATTTAGTGTATATGAGATTAGGCCTCTTTTAAAAATATGTCCAATGTTTCAGTTTTTGAACTAGAAAAAAATTACGAATAAACATATAAAATTGCAGTTTTGCACTTACAAACTTTTTTTGATTTCTTAGGTTTGTTACCATTTTGGGAGCTCATTGTAGCACCATCATTGAGCTCCCAAGTGTGACTCACTGCCCTCTGATGCATAGTGACCCTAAGAGCAGAGTAGAAACAGCTACCTGGCAGGAATGCCAAGGCTGTAAATACTTATGGACATAGACTACCACGTCTTTCTCCATCTGAGCAGGTGTTGGCTTTGATCCACATTCCAGATGCTTTAACCACTGTTCTACCAATGCCTCTTTAACTAGGTATTCTCATTACTGTGAAGTTAGACCTGACTCCAGTAGGTTTTAGGGAAGCATTAAATTGCACAGGAGAGTGTCCATCCTTCTCTTGTGGAACCTCTTGTGCATTCACACCACCACCAAGACACTGCCTTTGGGGTAGCATCACAATTCCCTATGGAGTTGGCCACCAGAGCTCCAATGGAATAGTTGTTGTTGATTACCTTTGAGTTGAGCACGACTCATAGCAACCCTATGAACAAAAAGGCCTGAAGCCCCTTTACAACTATCGACATTTATTGACGTTCATAGGGTTTCCCGAGGCATGTTTTAGGAAGTGGATGCCACTCCACCAGAAATTACTAAGCATCATCTTGTTAAGTAATGTATGAGGTTTTATTAGGTGCCATCTGTTTTCTAGTAAGTTGTGACTCAAGGCAACCCTATGCCAGGTGTCCAAGGCTGTAAATCTTAATGAGAGTAAACTGCCTCCTGTAGAGCAGCTGGTGAGTTTGAAATTAAACCCACTGGCCTAGTGGTAGAAGCTGTGCTGCAATCCCGAAGGCACGTGGTTTGAGGCCACCAGCTGCTCTGCGGGAGAAGGATAAGCAGGCTCCTCCTGTGGGATTAACGGCCTCTGAAAACCTCCGGAAGGTCAGCAAGGGTCGCTTCCAAATTGAAGGTACACGACAACATGCCACTAGGGTGTCTTAGATTAGCACACAGTGCTAAAACATTGGCAAAACTTAAAGTTAATGAAAAAATTTAATCATTTTATAAAAGCTCTGGAATGCAAATTTACTATCGTATAGTTGAAACTGACTCATAGCAGACTTATTGTTGAGGCTCCGAGGCTGTAAATCACCCAAGTGATTATCTTTCTTCTGTGAAGCTGCTGGTAGATTCAAAACATCAGAGGCACAATCTTTGGATTAAGCCATGAGAGCTCCTAATAACGTTGATATTTATATATTATTTAAAATTAAGATTAGAATTTTATACAGAAGGATATATTAATATTTTTCTGATTCTTTTGCTTTATGGAATGCTTAAATTGTGAACAACTGAATTGTCTTTGTTAACCATCTATGAAGAGTATGTTGTTGTTGTTATGTGCCGTCGAGTCACTTGCGATTCATAGTGACACTATGTACAACAGCCCTAAACCCTGCTCTATACTTTTGTTTTATTTAGGCACTTCAAAAATGCTGTTTTCTAGAGTGAATTGTGGAGATTGGTCTGACATATGTACCAAGCAAAATGTTACAGAGTTTCCTCTTGTAAAGATGTACAAGGAAGGTGAGAATCCATTGTCTTATGCTGGTATGCTTGGAACAGAAGACCTTCTAAAATTTATTCAGCTGTAAGTCTTCAACTTTATTAAAAAACTCATTGCCATTGTGTCTGAACTGGCTGGCTCATAACTGACCCTCCAGGAACTTTTTGTTGTTGTTCTGTGCCATTAAGTTGGAACTGGCTCATAGCTAACCCTCCAGTCAGTTTGCAGAGGCTGTAAATTGCACAGGAGGAGATTGCTCAACTTTCTTCTGAGGAGCAGTTGGTGGATTTGAACCAATTATCTCTGAGTTGGCAGGGCAACTCCTTATGGTTAAGCCATAAGAGTTTGACATCCAGTGGATTTTTAGAGGTTATAAATTTCATGAGAGGAAATTGTTCATCTTCTCCCCACCTCTCCCACTTACACCCCTCACCCGCAGAGGGTGGATTCAAACTGCCCATCTTTGGACTGGCAGTGCAACTCCCTATCCATCCATTAGACATTGTTCAGTTTCACTGGAAGATTTAAAAACAAAACAAAAAACAGGGTTTGTAAAAGTTCTAATTATTATAACGACATTTTGAATGGTGAAGTTCTAGAGTTGAGATAGAATAAAGACTGATAAAAAGAGTCTATGCTCTATAATTTTTGGGAAGATAATATTGTTTATAAGGAGGAGTTTTTAAAAAGAAAATTTCTATTTTTTTCAGGTGTTTATTTTACGTATGTAATTTATATAGTCCAGCATTATTTTTTACAAGATAAAAAATTCCCTTTAAAAATTAAATTTTTAGTGTAATTATATTTCATTTAGGAGCAGGATTTCATGCCCGGTGAAGATAATATCTGTCCAAGAGGCAGACCGATATTTACGTGGGGAATTGTATGACGACCTGCTCTCCTATTCTACTGTGTTGGTACTTGGAATATTTACCCCAACCATGACAACAGGTAAGAAGCTTTTAGTTTTCAGATTATACAATATAGTTGAAAATTCGTAGTTAACAAATTTTCAAAGAAGAGTGAATGTGCTTTTTAAGGCTGGAGAATTCAAATTATAGATAATTAAAAAGTTAAAAGAAAAATAAAAATCTGTACTCTAAGCACTAAAAGTGTAGTTGAGTTTGGACATTTAATTTCCTTCCATCTTTTTTCCATGTAACAATGTATTACTTACTTTTCAGTATAAGTTTGTTACTATTATATGAGCATATTGTGAAGCTTGCTTTTATATATTATATTTATCTATAATTTATACTTTTCTAAATAACAGAGTATTTTAGATAACATTATATTTGAACAATTTTGCCATAATTTGGAAGCTCTGATGGCCGAATGGTAAGAAGCTATGTGTCAAGGCACGCAGTTCGAATCCACCAGCTGCTCAAGTGGAAAAGGATGGGCAGTCTCCTCCTGTGTGATTTACTGCCTCTGAAAACCCACTAGAAGGTCAGCAATGGATCGGTTCCGACTTGACAGTACTCAACAACCACAACAACATGGCCATAATTTGGAATTCCATCGATTTCTGACGTCTTGATTTTTGTCAGTTCCTTCAGAGTATCATGAACTTCCTGCTTCGTCACCATTGCCTCTTTATCATGTGCTGTTTCTTGAAATTCTTTTGTGTCAGCCAGTTCTTTTTGGTACAGTAACTCTTTTACTCCTTCCATCTTCTTTTTAATACTTCCTGGATCATTCAATGTTCTGCCCATAGCATCCTTAAGTCTTGCAACTTGAGGCTTGAATTTGTTCTTTAGTTCCTTCAGTTTAAGAAATGCTGAGCAAGTTTAACCCTTTTGATTTTCCAACTCCAGCTCTTTACACATTTCATCACAATAATTTGCTTTGAGCTGCCCTTTGAACTCTTCTGTTCAGCTCCTTATCTGCATACTTTGCTTTGATTTCAAATCTTTTCTTCCTCTTCTGTCTTTGGAATGCCTTTTGCATTCTTTGTGGGTGATATTCTTAATATCTTCCTATAGCTTATCTGTTCTTTGGTTCATTAATGTTCATTCAAGGCCTCGAACCTCTTTCTGATACAGTTTTAAAATTCCGGTAGGATAGATTCAAGGTCAAATTTTGGTTCCTGTGGATTTGATTTAGCCTTTTTAGCTTTAGTTTGAACTTGCATATGAGTATTTGATGGTCTGTTCTGTAGCACCTGGACTAGTTTTCACAGCTAACTTTGAGCTTCTCCAAATGATTCTTTGCACAGATATAATCGATCTGATTTCCTTTGCATATCATCAGGTGAAGTCCATGTGTATAGTCTGCCTTTGTGTTTCTTATAAAAGGTATTTGCAATGAATAAATCACTGTTTGTACATAATTTTATCATTCTTTCTCCAGCCTCATTTCTGTCACCAAAACTGTTTTCCAACTTCTGATCTTAATTTTGATATTCTGATCCCAACTTTTGCATTCCATTCACCCATTGCTATTAATGCATATTGCTTGCATGTTTGATCTATTTCTGGCTGAAAAGGTAGTATAAGTCTTCTATTTCTTCCACTTTGGCTCTGGCTGTTGGTGCATATATTTGAATGAGAGTGGTATTCACCGGACTTCCTTGTATTATCCTGTAACTCACAACATTGTATTTCAAAATGGATCAAGAAATGCCTTTTTTAACTATGAAAGTGACCCTGTTTTGAAGGACAACTACCTTGCTAACTCATTGAAAGAGATACATATTTATTACCATTCCAAAAAAAGGTGGCCTGACAGTTGTTGTTGTTATATGCTGTTAAGTTGCCTGCGACCCTATGTGTAGAAATTATTGAACAGTATCACTAATATCCCATGTAAGCAATTTCCTGCTAAATATTATCCAAAACCAACTGAAATAGTTCATCAACAGAGAACTGCCAGATGTGCAGACTGGGTTTAGAAGAGGCCATTGCACCAGAGACATTATCATCATTGTCTAATGGATCTTGGCCAAAGGCAAGAGTACCAGAAGAATGTCTATCTGTATTTCATTGACTATGCAAAAGCATTTAGCTGTGTGGCTCACAACAAATTGTGGTTAACCTTGAGAAGAATGAGAATCCCAGAACACTTGATTGTGCATATGCAAAATGTACACTTGAACCAGAAAGTAGTCCTTAGAACAGAGCAAGGAAACCCTTCATGACTCAAAATTTGGAAAGGAATACATCAGTCCTGTGTCCTGTCCTTGTATCTTTTCAATCTCTATGTGGAAGAGATCATTTGGTAGGTAAGCTTTATGAGGAAGAACGTGGAGTTAGGTTTAGAGGAAGACTTATCAACAACTTGGGCTATGCAAATGACACAGCTTTGTTTGCTGAAACTGAGGAGGACCTGAAACATTTTCTGCAGAGGGTCAAGGACTGTAGTCTTCAGTATAGGTTGAAGCTTAACATCTTGAAGGCAAAGATTCTCACTGGGCCAATTGGCCACATCATGATAGATGGAAAAGAAATTGTGGTTAACAATTTCTGCTTCCTTGGGTACACAGTCAACACTCTTGACACAGGAAACAGGAAATCGGAAGACAAATTACATTGAGAGGTCAGGGACTCTCCAAAGTGCTAAAGAGTAATGATATCCATCTAGGGACTAAGGTGCCCCTACTCCAGGCCATGGTGTTTGCAGTTACTTGATATGCATCAGAGAGCTGAATGATGTGCTGCAGGCAACTTGATGGCACATAACAAACAAAAACATGCTATTTAGCTGCTTACCAACAAATTACACATAAATACAGTGCCCCCTGTAGGTGTAGAATACTTTTATTATTTTAATGTCTTTTGTGAATGTTCAATTATTTAAAGGTTATAGATATCTAGTAGGAGAATAACTGTATTTGTATGACTTTTGAAATTTGTGTAAATAATATATCACTCAATTTTAAATATACTTGTCTGTATAAGACCTTATATATCAAGGATCTGTATAACCTTTTTAAATTTAGTTCCAGTTATTTTCACTGTTAATTACTTTTTAACTTTATTTAATGATTTAATATATAGCGAATCCCATTATCGTCAAATTCATTCTGACACAGTAACACAATCAAACAGGATAGAAATGTTCAAAGCTTTTCTGAGGCTGTAAATATTTACAGAAGCTGACTGCTACAAATCCTTTTTCCACGGAGTAGCTATTTAGTGTAAAAGGAGCAAGGGCCAAGTGGGAACGGCCATATCTAACCATTACCAATGGCACAGAGGGAAACTGTCCCAATCAGCAACACAAAAAACAGTTCCCATGAGGTCAGACATGTCCCCTACACTCCCACACTCTATCTACTAATTCCAACATCAGTCTGTTGTTTACTGGGTCCAAAATCTGATGCAGTAGTTCCCATACCACCCTACTATATTAGAGAAATCAAAAGATTGTAATTCAGGTGGTGGTGGTTGTTGTTGTTTACTGTAGAGTCAGGATCGACCCATAGCTGACCCTCTGGTGGGTTTTTAGAAGCAGTTAGTTGCATGGAAGGAGACTGCCATCTTTCTCCCACAGAGCAGCTGCTGACCTTGACCTATGTGCCTTTGGGATTGCTACAAGGCCACTAGAGCTTCCTGTAATTCAGGTAGAAACAAAATAGAATCACTTAGGACAGTTTCCAAGATGTGCTGGCAGGCACCTCAGTCTTGAGCCCTATGGCTTTAAGCCAAAATTATAGAGTTCTCAATCCTGCTAGTTATGGCTCCTCCCTCCCGTCACCAACTGTCCAGTAAACGTATGCAAAGGCTTTTAGTTCTGGTTCCATGGAGTAGCAGCCCCAAGGTCTTTTCGGTCTCAAGTCAGGTCTCTGGTTCTCTGCTTTGGCTTCTGTGGCTGCTTCTCCCCCAGGCTCTGGTCTGACTGGTAGAAGAATCTGGCCCCAAAGGATGTGTTGATTCTCTTGCTTCTTGGCTTGTAGTGAGATTCTTTCCCTTTCTGCTGCTGGATCCACTCAACTTAATGATAAGACTAGCCAATCCCCTTGTGGATAGGCTGGCATGCCCTATTTGCATATTCCCACCCATTCATGTGTAAAAATTAGGGGGACAGGGAAGCCATTTTGAACAAGAAACCCTAACACCACAAGTTTGAACTGCTGACTTTTTGAGTTAGCTTAGCAGTCTAGCACTTAACCAATGTACCACCAGGGTGAAATTAAATTTATCCATCTATATAAAATGGAAAATTTTTTTGTTTTT